GTGGTGGTGGTGGTGCCGAGGACAGTAGTGCCTTCCTCGATGAGTTCTACTCCTTTGGTGCCCTCAAACGTCTCTGCCACAGACACACAAAGAAACTGGCGCATGAGATCAACCGCTTGAAGGTGAGTATCTCAGACATGCGCGCTCTTACCACACTGTCCTTCATTTTGTCAACTGCTGTCGTACTTTGTCTCGTTTCGGAGAAACCACTAGGGTACGTGTATTTTAAGCGGCTTGATTCGGTCGACCGCACGTCGTAAGGTCACCTCATCACAGAAAATCGCTTTTACTTGCCAGTCAGTCAGCGGCGGACTACCGAACAATGTTGGCACGGCAGACTTCATGACCTTCGACGCCGTTACCAGATAAGAACCGGGCTTCACTGAGATGACGTCTCGGACGATTTCACTTTCAGGCCGGCGCAGCACGTCACCTAATCACTTCAGTCGTCAAGTGAGGGTGCGGCAGGCCGTTCTTCTTGCCGACCGAATGTACAATTGTTTATTCGAAACATTGTAGGAGGAATTAATTCCGAGAATGGAGGGCAAGCCACATCCACCGAAAACCCCCGGCGGCTCGTATCTTCTGCGCGTACAGGCCATTTCTCACAGCCGTACAGGAGTTTAATCTTAACGGGGACCTGGCACGTTTTCTCTTTAGATTGATCCCGTGCATCGACGAAGTTAGGCGAAGGCCACTTGCGCTTGATTAATCCCGCAATCGAGTTCTTCATTAACTTATCAGCGTGGCTGAAGGTAATTTAAACCCAAAAGTACAAACTGTCCATCGGTCTAAGAGAGCCAGTGTCTGCCGTAACCAAGCAGGTTGTTCGATCATTGTTTTGAAGGGCTTCACCTCCAAGCCCACTTCCTCTGCTTTCAAACCTATATGGGACACGTGAGATAGTCAACGCCGCAACGTCCTCGGCGTAGTTACTATTTGTAACGTGCGCGCCAGGACCTACGGCAACGCCGGGGTGATTTGCTAACGTGTGCTTAGGAATTCCGTCTATGAAGTAGTTGGGCAGAAGTAGTGAGAGAACAGAGCGCTGACGGTCGCCGACGACGGCATCGAATAAGCCACACCTCACCTCACTCGCATCACTTGATGGTAGGCTTGAATCGTTCGGAACTCTTTCGTGACGTGAGCGGCCACTAAAAGGCACTAGAGCAAGCTGATAGTAGTAGTAGTAGTAGCAGCAGCAGCAGCAGCAGCAGTAGTAGTAGTAGTAGCGTTGGAGAAAACGATGAGTGTTACTTAACGCTGTCCGTCCAGACCGAAAGCCGTTAGATGAAGCACGTTCGATATCTCGGGCAGCTTAACTTCAGATTTCGTTGCGGTTGTGTTGTCATACCTCCTGATTAAACTCGAGTCGTCTGGCGGGGTCTCGTAGCTCAAGTGGTTAGAGCGTTGGCTGAACTAAAGCCTTCCTCTTACTGCGTGGGTTCGAATCCCACCGAGGCGCCGAGTTTTGCACAGTTGGGTCAATATGAATGCCTCCTGGTGTCATGGCACAGCTTCCTGAAGTTGGGGTAGTTATAAAGCCAAGTATTCTGTAGCATCGTCCGGTCGAATCCTTTCGCCAGAACCCCAGTACTTCGGGTGCCACACTCTATGACCTATCTTATCTGGGGAGAAGCATTCTGGAGAGTATGCTCCTTTTCAAGTTGGCCGCCTTTTACTGAGAGGCCATGGAATGCGTCTGTTTGTCGGTGTGTCAAAGGAATGGGAAGCAGCAAAACGTACCTGACAGGATCCCTGAGATGCATAAGGCCTTTCTTTTCAGATCATATCTTTCTGACAATACGTGTGTAGTATAAACCGCAACTCAGCCCTCAATGACAAAGGGCAACCTTGGCATTGTAAAATGCTACTGATTGACTGTTAAGTCTAACTGTTTATTCGCCGCCTTTTTGGTCAAAGCACGCCTTAGACGTACATTGTTTCCTGTCCATTTCTCACCTCCCATCTCTCCCCCCCCCCCCTCTCTTTTAACAGGAGCTTGAAGAGGCGAAAAAGGCTGAACTGAATAGAGAATTCATCAACTTCATCAATGCGAAAAAGAAGGCAGTAGGCAGACTGCAAGAACAGCACGAAAGAGATCTGGAACTGGCCATGAAGAAGGCTGCCGAGGATGAAGCAAAGTACTTGCGTCAGCTGGAGGCCGATGTAAAGGCGCAACTGAAGATGCGGCGAAAGTCCTACAATCGGCCGAAGAGTATGGCCGGCTTTCCGGGCTCGGGGTCCCCCTTCAACGACCCTC